CATTAAAGTAAACTAGTTTTTTATAAGTTTTATTATGTAAATGTTATGCAAATTCAATATTTTGACTCAAAATTCATGAAGCATGGAGTTCACCCCTACTGCACATTCTGTTCTTCAGTATCATATTTCAGATGAATGCTTTTTAAAAACAAGAGGTAAATTACTAACTCTGTGTAAAATGTTGTGAAATTTTCAAACCACACATTGTTGTTTTCTGAACATTGCATAAATTAAGACTGTGTAATTCATGATCATAGTTCAACTGTACAGTAAACAACTCCACTCCAAGGTAGTTTAGCAGCAAAGTTAAAACAGACATTTCKAAGAAAAAGAAAAACGGGTTGGATGAAAGTGGTCTTTTTAAGTCCAGATCGGAGCCCTGAAGAGTTCTTTAATCCCAGTAGGAACTGTGAGAGCAACAAAGGAGATGAAGTGGAGAAGAAAACAAAAGCTTAAAAAAAGGACATTATGATTATATTGCTTCTTCTAAAGCAAATATTTCTTAACAGTTAAAGTGGAGAATTTCTACTCTGAACTTCAGGTCACTGCTGCTGTTTGACGTATGAAGAGCTGACRGGAAAAAGCTGCTTCAGATCTCTCTGAAGCCCTGATGAGCTTAAACTTTGTCAAACCGAAAATATCTGAAAGGTTCTGTTTAATTTAAGATATTTTCATATGTGAAGCCTTACTCTAAGCCACATTTGATAGATGCATTGCTTAACTGCACTATACTCTAATATGTACCCTTAGAGCTCAGTCCAGAGAAGGTAAGCACAAATAAACGTACCTATATTTTAGTACAGACTAGTTTGTCCACATTTTTCACTTCTGTCAATATAACGGTTTACAGTTTACAAGTCGACAGTACCAAAACATTGTTTTTTAGATTTATATGCAGGAAAGGGGTTTTCCTCCCTCGCTGTCTGCCTGTGTTATGTCTCAACAGATGGGTCACATTCGAGGTCACGTGACTCATTGTTTAGAGCCAAAAAAGAACCTCATCGGACTTGACCTTGTGAGAGGTCCATGTTTAGAAAATGTTACTGCTTGTTATGTTGACACTAGAGCAGAAACAGGACCATTTGGACCAGAGGAGGAGGCCACTTACCAGAATCCCATTTGACCTTTGTTCTCTGTGTTCAGTCAGTGTGTTCAGTCGATTGCAGCTAATTCAAGTGAGCAGAAACTAAGAAGCCACGCCAGCCACTTATGACAAAACATAAAGCTATGATTCTTAGCAAACATGAGCATTTAGTCTTGTCAAAACTGACATACGGCAACCATTGCAACAATTAAACTTCAATTTGTTAAGGCACTGTGTTTAAAATGTGCACAGATTATATATTTCACTGACAGTTCTTTGGGAATTTATATCTGATTTGATAAAAACAAAGCCTTCTTTGAGAAAAATTGCAAACCATCATTAGTAGTTTTAATTTATAGCAAGAAAAATAGAAATTAGCTGACAGTCTCAGTCTTGTACAACACACTTATAGCTCCCACAGAGGAGGTGCTCTGTGCTTACTGAACGTGCATGTCTAAGGTTTGCTCAGCAGGCATCTGATCCACGACTCATATCACATGTCCTGATCCTCAGCTGCACCCACTGGGTCAACAAGCTCTGCCCACGTTTGCTGGCAACACAGCTTCTGTGGAGTCGTCCTGACATGATTGAATTGTTAGAAAGTGTGCTACGTTGCAGACGCCGTGTGCCAAGTTGCAGGAAGGATGTAATTCAATCAGATTTACACTAAGTTAACCTACAAACATGAGGTCATTTTTTTCCTGCAAGGTGTTTAGTGTCAGACAGGTGATTGCTCTGYTTTGCATGTGGATAAAATTAAAAAYATGGAATGTAAAATAGAGAAACAAAAACAAACCATGTTCCTCTTTTATCTTAATGTTGACTCCTGGGTTATTTGTGTGTTTTTGACCATTCAGTGTGATGGATATGAATTCAGAGTGTCTGATTTTGCAGAGACACTTTGAATTCAAGAACAATCGCTTACAGAGATCTGACTTACCTTTCTGTGTGCTGTAAGCTGAAGTGGCCAAAATCAGCAGAAAGACAATTATGTGTTCCAAAGTCTTCATCCCACCTCTGTGCTACACAGTCTGAACAAAGCTTTTGGACAAGGTAAATATAWAAAAAAGATAATTAATTCAAAGTTAGAATCCTGTACCCAGTAAGGTTCTTGTTGGACTGCTGTGTACGTCTGTGTTTGCTGCAGCCAGAGACAGCCATGAGCTCTGTGAGATCAACAGGAACCCGTTCAGTCACAGTGTGTGTGTGTGTGTGTGTATGAACTGTGTGATGGACGTGAGCAGCTGCTCTGCATGAACAGTCACTTTGGTTTTGCAGCTCTGCTCTAAGCTCCAAAGGCTCCGGTGCTAAACAGCCATCTGCATGCACAGTGGTCAACAACCCTGGCAGCAGCTGATCCATATTCTCAGAGAAATATGACGGCAGGGCCCTCGCGTTTGTCATCATCTCGCTGTTCAGTCATCAAATAAACACCACAGCAGTGTACAAGCAGAGTGTGACAAAATGAACTTATATTTAAAAAAAAATTGGGGCAAACAAATATCCATGCAGGCACGTTGCATATCTCACTGCATAACAATCTGACACACGTTCACGTGAACACACAGTTCAGGAGGCAGTCTTTGTGTCCACCTGTTGCCTTCCAKTCTGAACATCCTGTTTTATTTTAGGAAAGGAATGGCATTTCTGTTCATTTACTCCTTATCCACGCTGCTTTGGATGGACTGAGCTATTGTGCTCCAACAGCAGGAGCCCACATTCTTTGAGTCTGTTGTCAAAAGTTGCTTTAGTTTTTGACAGTTTAAAGAGGCAGCCCACATCATTTCAATTACGAACAACATTTTATGCGTGGATCTTTGAACAGCCTGACCAAATTGATTGGCTATCGGCCAAAAACATTTGCCGCACTGGCTTCGTGCAGTATTAAAACCACTCTAATCTCAAAACTTTCATGGCTGTTCGCATGAAAAACCTTTAATAGAACTAGTTACATCACTTCCTTTATTACATTACAGAGTTATCTCCACAGAAATATAATATGCTGCCAAGCTTAATTAGAAATGATCCAACTATCTGCCAAAATAACAATACAATTCTGTTTAAACAATGTGGAATTTCAAAGCTCAGAAGTTTGATGTTTCTCCGAAATTAGATCAAAAATCTATTTACAGCAGTTCATTGATCATGATTCATATACGTCCCACAGCTATGGAAGCCCATTTCCACCACCCTGACATAGGCTCTCATATTATAACTTAGCTATCTCATAATTATGAAATACTAAATCATAATTATGAGATATTATCTCATAATAATGATATATATATTTTTTTCTTCAGAGTGGTGGATTTGAGCTTCCATACAACACAGCTCCACTTAAAAAGGTCTAAATTATTTCTTTGACTATTAGTTTCAGTGTTTTATTTATTTATTTATTTATTTATTTATTTATTTATTTATTTATTGTCTTTTGTTATTGCAGTGTATGGTTTAAACTGTAAATCAAGATTACATTTTCTGTCTGTAGTCCAACAAGTCACTGCATTTACTCATATTTTTCACACCGCATCACGCCACCAGGTGGTGCTGTGTGAAGGGTTCAGCTTCTTCCTTTTCTTTTTCTTTTAATTATTGTTTCCTAAGTTGTCTGAAGGCCAAACAATACCCAATTATTTTAAAGGGAAAACATGTCAAGTCATTTGAATATTGTTCATTTCAAAGTACCGCTGTGCCAAAAACCGCTTACTTATAAGTGAAGTTTTGTAAAATGAACAATGATTGTCTGACTCCCTCTGCTGACAAAGGTAGAGAATCAAGAATAAGCTGTATATTTGCATGAAACATGGCATCTCTTTGTTTTATAGTGCTGTGCAAAAATCTTAAGCTACTCAACATTTTCATACGTATGTCGTATTTCATTTTCATTTGTATTTTTTTCATGTTTCATTTTATTCATATTTCAGACTATACGTTTGAAGTTGTCCTTGGTAATAATTTTATAAGATTTCTGAAGATTTATTGACTTTTTATTTATTTATTTATTCTCTGACTGAGCCAAAATTTTGTTTTGCGTCTGTTTGCAGAAATCTTGCATGGGTTTAGTAAAAAAAAAAAGAAGAAAAAAACAATCAAAAACCTGCTTTACAATAGATGAATCCAGATATGGTAATATAACTTTCAGGTCCCGTGTCAGTTGGTGTATATTGTATTTTTTTTCCTGTAATTTAAGGCACTACTTTCTCACATTTATTTATTTATTTATTTATTTATTTATTTATTTATTTGTTTGTTTGTTTGTTTGTTTATTTATTTATTTATTAGTATATTTGTTTGTTTATTTATTTCTTTTTTTGGAGGGGGGGGTTGTTTTTAGACATGTCTCTTTTTTAGTCTCCTCATTTTTTATGACCTATGTTACATTTTTGGGTTATACAGTAGCCTTTTCAGAATCACCTTGTTGCTGACTGTATGTACCATTTTATCCCACTCAGGCACGTTATTATGTTTTTTTCTGTTTTTTACAGAAGCAGCTAAACAGATTAAAGCAAATTATTTTTGCCATAGGCTTCTAACAAGTGCTTATAAGGCCCTTTCACACTATAATGTTTTAGAAAACTTGACATAAAATGACATCTATGTTGAAGGTGGAATTTAAAAAAAATGAACTGGAAGCCTCCTTTARGTGTATACTGTGATGCTAACAAATTGATCAAATATATAACTTTTATTAGTAATTTCGACATTTAAAAAATTCACAAGTTGTTTAAAACACYAATGTGACAGGGCCTTTAGCCTCGTCACATTTGTTTTTATTGTTGCTGTTGTTAGACACAACAGGCAGTTTTAATTTGCCATGCCATTTGTATAATAATAAAGAAAATATAATTATTTATTCCTCTGAAAATAGTGGAAGTAGTTGACAAGAACTCAAAATTACTAATAAAGAATAATTAATGTCGTAGAACAAACAAGCAAAAAACTTACACCCTCATATGTCCAAAAATATTGTCTAAAACATTGTAAAATCATCTGGATTCTCTGTTAATGGTGAGTAAAGACTAAATATTTAAATTARGTGACCTAACTAGTTGAGGGAGATTAACTGATGTGAAGCTTTTCTAGCTCAGCTGCATTCAGACAAACATGACACTGTCAGGCGCGGCGGCCCTCCTTCTCCCTCCCTTTCTGCTCGCCCACCCTCTCTAAAGCCGAGCCGTGTCTGGTGTCAGTCAGCCACTCCCTCTAAACATTGTCTCAACGTGTTCTGCAATAATTAACCTGCTGCTACGGTGTGCTGCACACACTCACCTCCTGCCACACCAACTGTACTCCAGAACTTTGAACCCAAACACGCTCACAACTCAGATTCACCGTCTTGGCTGAGAAATGGACCTGCTTCACGAGCTTTTAAAAGGCTAAAACAAAGACTGACCAGGTAGGAAGAAAAGTAAACGTGATCAGCTTTTTTAAAACTTCCGTTAGGGCTTCATAAATTTTAATTTATTCTTTCATATACACGGAATAACCATCCTAATTTATAGTTCAATACTCATTGTTTTAGGTTTAATTTTTAACTTACCAGGCTTATTAAAGATCAGATCAGAAACTAGATTTAATGTAACTGGATTGATTCTCTTTATGTTGTTTTGAATAGAAAGAAATATAAGATACATGAGCCCAAAACTTTAAAAAATCCTGTATTTAGATCACAGTTTTTCAATTAAAAAGAGCACTTTCATGTAGAGATTTAGGAAAGTTAGAAGAAAGACAGGAAGGAGTGGAGAAGGGAACTGTAAGGTCATAAAGTGAGGTACTGGGTGTGTACTGTGGCTTTTTACCCCGCTGGCAATATTTTTCCAGAGAAAACCTCACTGTACACAAAGGCTGGGTTCTGTATTTAGATATCATAAGTGAGCCACTGTAGATCTGACTGTGCAGCCTATAGATGTAATGCCACTGGCTTCAAAACATTTTTTTCTTAAAAATGTTTAGCATCTAATATGACCTACTAATTTTATTTTTACTACAAACTTCTTCTTTACCCTCCTTAGAGTCAGCGTTCTGGACCTTCTCTTTGAAACGTTGCATTTAAAATCATATCATATAGTGGAACGAGTATATGAAGTTTCATTTTTAGGGGTTGTCTTGGATTATAAACTTAACTGGAAATATCATATAAAATATATAAAACAAAAACTATGTAAAAGTATTGGACTCTTAAATAAAGTTTAAAAAAATATTTTAGAACAACCAACACTCCATACATTATATCACTCATTTGTTGCTCCTTATATGACCTATTGTGTAGAGGTATGGGGCAACACATAAAATCAACACTAAACCTTTGTTTGTGTTACAGAAGAAAGTTATGAGAATTCTGTATAAAGTGAACGTTAGGGAACATACAAATTTTTTTTATTCAATCAAACATTTTGAAACTATGGGACTTAGTTAATTTAAAAATTTTATTAATTATGTTTAAAGCAAGAAATACATTATTGTCAAAAATTTACACAAGTTTTTTGTCTTAAGTTCAAATGACAGAAATAACCAAAGAAAATATGATTTTAAAGGTGAAACTGTGTGTACTACTTTAAAGCAAATGTGTATTTCAGTTTATTGGGAAAAATTATGGAATAGTTTCGATGACGATTTGAAAAAAACGTTCTACTTTAAATCAATTTAAAATACTTTTTAAGGAAAAAATTATTAAGTCTTATACACTTTTGAGTTAATAAGGAGAACGATAAATTGTTTGCAGATTCTATTTGTGATTTAATGTAAGTGGCCATGAAAAATGATTGTAATCATTGAGAAAGGAGCAGGTTTATACAAGGTTTTTCTTCTTCCTGCTCCCTTTTCACTCATGCATAGTTAAACGAAAATGTGTTTGTATGTTTTAATGAGGAAAATTGTTGAATTGAGTGAATAAACTTATTGATTGATTGATTGATTGATTGATTGATTGATTGATTGATTGATTGATTGATTGATTGATTGACTGATATCATAATGTCAGACCTGGTCACTTCCTGCTTTAGTGCATAAATCCAAAACATCCAAACATCAGTTCACACACAGATGCCACCAGGGTAACTCTGTTCATTCTGTGACAGACTACAAAATGTGCAAAGCTCAGCATTATATGGCTGGATTTGTCTGCCTGAAAGGCAAACACTTTTTTTATTTTGTTGCTTAGCGACACTTTGAGCCTGTGAAGGTATTCTGTGTTACATCAGGTCTTTGGAAGCTACCATTTATCCAATTACAACAGTATGATGTGGAAATTTGAAGCATCATTTGGACAAATTGTGCAAGTTGGTTGTTAGTGAAGAAAGACCCATTTTTAGATTGTGTTTCAGCATAAATGAGATTCTGTTTATTACTAATATGATCCCATGGAAGTGAAATAACTTACAAATGAACACAAGAGAAATTGCAAAGCATTAGTTTGCATCTGAATGATGTTTTGTCTGATGTTCTTCTTTTAACCACATGTACCCTCAGCTTGTCTCTGCACTCATATGCTGCACTGATTAGCAGTATGCAAGTACATTCTAAGTGCTAAATAAATGAATTCCTGTGTTAGATTTTGCACAGTTGTTTGTCTGACAATTGCATTGCCTTTTGGCACAGTTTAATCTAGCATTGTCAGCTGACTGTGTGATGTTAGCAAAAACCCTGACATTTTGTCTTAAAACAATTAAAACTAGATGAATTGTATTTCCTGTGAAAACGCTAGTGTAACATGCTAGCCTATAGTTGAAAACCTTAGCTGAAAGCTGCTGAAATGGAGCTGAAAATGTTTAATAGCAAAACGAGTTCAATTTGAAAAGCTGAAAGAAGCATAAAAAGTTTAACTTAGTATAATATTAGCTGAAAAGAGCAGAAAGATRGCTGAAAAGCAGGAAAAAAGCTAAAATTAGCATAAAAACAAGCTAAAGGTAGCAGACACARTTTGAAAATAGCACCCAGATGGTGAAAAAGGTATAAAAATGTCTAATTAGCATAAAAARGCATRAARGTAAAAATTTGACGATTTGTCGCAAAATAGCTGAAAACTCTTAAATTAGCACAAGAAAGCATAAGGAGCACAAGTTTGCTGAAGTAAGCAGAAAGAAGCCAACAAAATGYGAATTTAGCTCAAAAASCTAATTGTATATATCAACAGCTGAACATTAGCTAAAATTGCAGCAAACAGCTGAATCTAGCAAAAAAAAAAAGCAAATGTAAGAAACATAAACAACTCAAATTGGCATAAAGAAGTTCAAAAAAGCCAAAATTAGCAGAAGAATAGCAAAAAGGAGCAAAATTATAGCTGCAATAACAGGAAAAATAACTAAAACTGGCAATAAAATAAGCTAAAATTATTACAAGGAAGTTAAAAAGAGCAAAAACAGARSAAACGGTGTAAGGTGCTGCACAGATTTAGAAATATGTTGAGGGATTTTAAGGATGTTGTAAACAGCTCCATTCATTTACAAAGGGAAAAATGTGGCAGAAAATGTGAAATAGCTAAAAAAAAGTATAAATAGATGAAAAGTTATAGACAGAAGGTCCTGAAGGAGATGACCGTTTCGACAAATGAATTGTGCAAATAGCACAAAAAAAACAACTAGATATAAGCATATGGTATTGCTTTAAACATTAACAGGCTTGGTGTCAAACTTCAGAAGGTGAGCAAGTTATTACATGTTAGAAAATACTTCTAAATTAATTAACAAAAACTTTAACAAATTGATTTTAAAAGCATATTGCACTGCATTTCCTTTGAAATAAATTCCCCCTTATATGTGTTATTGAAGAAGAACATTGGTATAGTACTATAACTATTGCTCTGAAAGTGGCATTGTACATTCATTTTGCTATTTGTTTATTTTACATTCTGCACAAAGTGAAATGTCTGTCAAAAAGGGGAGTGGAGAAGCTGCAGAATGCTTGAGGTATTTCTCACCAGCTAACAGGCTGAGGCAAAGAAAGAATGAAGGAAATTGTCAACTAAACTGGCTGTTGATGTCAGACAGCTCTCTTATTAGAGAACAGAAGAACAAAAATAATAATACAAAAGCAATGACAGAGCAAGCATACAAGGTTACAGTCACAGGTTTCTGASTCTGTGACCAAAATATAAACAAACGACTGGCTCCACACTGTCATCACTGGGTACTGGGTGGAGTACTGTTATTAAAGCTCTTGGAGACAAGCAAAAAAAGAAAGTAAAAGAGGGAAGGCAGGACTACAGCAAAGAAAAGAAAGAAAGAAGGCAGGACTACAGCAAGAAAAAGAAAGAGAGAGAAAGCGAAAGACAAAAATAACCCTAAAACTTCAGAGGCAGGCAGAACGAGATATTTAAAGCACACAKAGAAGAAAAAGACAAAGACACTGAATCGGGGTCTTGGATTTTTCATGTGAGATAGGGTAAGACCTGTGTTTATGTGTTTATTTTTAGAATAAAGTGAGTTTTCAGTGGCGTTCCTTGCTTGAGGTGCACACAGTGCTGGACAAGAGTCTACATTTAGCTGCAGAATGCCCTCTCAGGCCGTTTCACGAGTTTTAATTAGCCAGTCCTGCTTTTATTTTTGTAACCAAATGTAGTTAAACACGTTTGTTCTTTTATCTTCTTTGTTTTCTCTGCAGCACCTGAACAGAGATGAATGCAGCAGCTCTGCCCCTAGTAATCCAAGCAGGAAATGGAAGGCTATTAACCAGGTAATGTATTGCTATAAAGCTCTTGCTTTATATGGATTGC